TTTTTTAAATTAATATTTTTTTAATCAATATATCCTTTCAATTTTTGTTGTTGTAGTTATTGTCAATGCAATGAACTATTCCAAAGATTAGATACTTGAAAATAAGTTAGAGAAATGCTCACATCATAACTATTTAAATAATGTAACATTTTTAATAATTTATAACTTTGATTTTATAGGCATATAAAATAATTAATTATTAACAATTAAGTAAAGATAACAAGTTTAATTAAATTAAAATTGATATTATATTGACTATTTTTAAATAGTGAGCAAATAATTAAAATGTATAATATATAAACTTTAACTAGAAAGAGATTGATGGTGTTATGTTAAGTTTTGATGATGATGTAGTTCAACGCTATGGAAAATTCAGTTAGAGTATTTAAAGTCAATTATTAATCATCCTTTTTTTTATTTTATTTATAAAGAAAAACATGTTATCTTTTAATTCGTCCCTCTCTTTCGTCTGGGTGCTATACTTAAATATTAGAAATTTCTTCTGACCAAATACCTCTCTAGTTATTTGGGACTCATAACTTGTGTGATTAAATTAAATAAAAATTTATTTCTTATATTTCAGGAAAATAATTAAGCATAAGGTCGACCGACGAATCAAATTTAGAATTATTATTCTTTGTCCTAAAAATACAAGACCTTCCATGAAATAAGTGTTGCTATTTGTTATTCTATTAACTCAACGAAATACAAAGAATAATAAATTATTTATTATTATTATATAAAAAAATAATACTATATTTCTAACCAATATCAAAATGATCATTTTTCTAATATTTTTTATATCATTTTGACATCATTTTATCAAGTTGAGAAACAATGAACAGGAATTTGATGTAGAGAAAATAAGAGTCCCAATTGACAGAATAAATAGGCAATAGATCTTCAACAAATATTTTTGGGTGTCAAAATTTTTATATTAATATATAAAAGGTTTGAAGGCACCAAATATATAAAATATATTAAAGTTTCAAAAAATATTTAAAATTATATATTAATTTATATAAATATAAAAAAAAATCGGGGTAAACTCTTGTTGCCACCATTAAGGTCCGCTGTGAACCAAAGACTGAAAGAGGCTCACTTGGACATCCCTTTCTATTCAATGGGTCACATATATATTGAGTGGCCATAAATTATTTGAGTTTTTTTGTTTTATTATTATTATTATTGGTGGGACTCTATTCACTCTAAAAGTTCTCTTCATTTTGGTATACTTTTTTTACAAGGACTACTTGTATATTTCGTAAAATTATTAAATTATTTTAAACTTTCTAAATTTGAACACTTGTGGTTTTTGTAAAATTTCATTTTTAGTTATTAAGGTGAAAAAATTCATCTTAATTACTATAAAAAGCTGAAAGAAAATAAAATGGAAAAATGAGATGCATGCATGTTTGTCATCACATTAAAAGATCAAACAGGTGGCTACTAAGCGTGGGGATGGGGACAGATGTCAGTTTCACATTCAATACATAGAAAGATTCCAATATATAATAGCATCCATGTAATATTAAATTTAAAACCTAAATTTTATATCCGGATAGTCAATTTATTATCAGGAAAATTTCAGATCAATGATTAGCACAAACATATTATTTTTTTATTTATGTAAAACATTTGTCATTCCTAAGATAAATATGTTATAATAGCATAAACATCACTGCTTGAAAATCACTTGTATCGTATGTAGTGGAGACCGAACGATTAACATTTAGCACTGTTCAGTTCATTCATCAGGATCGTTCGGTTCATTCGTTACAGTCAACTTGGTTAAATGGTTTTCAAGGGTAATCAACTGCTTCAAATGATATTTGGACCAAAAGCCCAGCATAAATTAAAATAATCAAAGATACATGATTAAAGATATTCATAAAGCTGTTTATGAGCAACCACCCGGATTTTAAGGTAAGTTTGTTTATATTTTATTAGGCTTGTGATAACCTATAAATACAGGGCCAAGGCTAAAAGCCAGATACGTTCTACTTACATTCTACTTACGTCCGATCAGGACTTAAATACTAAATTGTGATAAACAATTCTTAAAAACCGCTCCTAACTTGAGCGTCGGAGTGTCTTTTGCAGGTACCCCTCTGTCAAGGAAGCAACCGAGCGGTCATACTATGGAAGCCGAGAGGTCGAGGCGGAAGGAGCAGGTGGAGCACATGATTCAAGCGTCATAAAAGTTAGTGTCTCGGTCCCATAAAATTCTTACCGAAACATTTTGGCGCCCACCATGGGACCGGGGGCATCCCTTATAACCACAAGGAACCGTACAAGGATGCAGTCTCACCATCAACGTCAACAAGCTTCTACGACTTTACAGATAATTATTTTGATATAGATTCCTTTTATTATTTAATTTATATGATTTAATTTAAAAATCTTAATTCAATATTATATTGTTCAAGATTCAATAAGGGTCCAACGCACTCACCACTTAGCCAAATTTGGCATCGAGTGTTCAAGTATTTGGCTGTTCGACCTCCTCAAAGGTATTTGGTCGTTCGACCTCACAGGTATTTGGTCGTTCGGCCTCACAGGAATTCGGTCATTCGGCCTCATAGGTATTCAGCCGTTCGGATTCACAGGTGACAGGACCATGCAGACCACTCGACCAAGAGGAGTGCAAGAACCGAGAGCTAAATCCCTCTTGTCCACTAGGAAGTTCCAAAACGAACTCCTAAGTCGAAAAATCGAGCGGTGAGGAACGTTCTCCATGAACGCTCACTCTCGTCCTAAACCGAGCGGTGTTGCACGTCCCCAAGGACTGACACTCTCATCCACTAGGAAGTTTCAAAATGAACTCCTAAGTTGAAAAACCGAGCGGTGGGAAACGTTCTCCATGAACGCTCACTCTCGTCCTAAACCGAGCGGTGTTGCACGTCCCCAAGGACTGACACTCTCGTCCACTAGGAAGTTCCAAAACGAACCTAAGTCGAAAAACCGAGCGGTGAGGAACGTTCTCCATGAACGCTGACTCTCGTCATAAACCGAGCGATAAAGACAGTCCCCCATGGACTATAAATCGAGCGATAAAGACAGTCTCCCATGGACTATAAACCGAGCGATAAAGACAGTCCGTAAAGGACTATAAACCGAGCGATAAAGACAGTCCCCCATGGACTATAAACCGAACAGTAAAGCCCGTTTCCTAGGAAGAACTCCTATGTCAAAGTCACAAAGCCGAGAGGTAAAGCCCTTTCACTAGGAAGTTCTCCAGGAACTCCTAGGTCGAACACCAAGAGCTGAGGAACAGTCATTCTCAACCGAGCGTCTTCAATAAAGCACTCTCGCCCGCTTGGCCATTCAACCTTATAAAATGGTTGCTCGGCCTATTGAAAAGTTCAAAAGAGAAGTTATAAAGTCCACCATTTCGGCAGCAGCGAGCAACGACTAAAAACAACCTCCCTCAAACTCATAAGTCCTATAGTTAACCACGGCTAAAGCTGAACGCTTAACTCGGACTTGGGGGGCATAATGTATCGTACCTAGTGGAGACCGAACGGTTAACATTCAGCACCGTTCGATCCATCCACTCAGGATCATTCGGTTCATCCGCTATAGTCAACCTGGTCAAATGGTTTTCAAGGGCGTTGGGTCGTAATTGGGCCCACAGCGCTAATCAACTGCTTCAAATGGTATTTTGACCAAAAGCCCAACATAAATTAAAATAATCAAAGATATCTGATTAAAAATATTCATAAAGTTGTTTATGAGCAACCGTCCGAATTTTAAGGTAAGTCTGTTTATATTTTATTAGGCTTGTGATAACCTATAAATACAGGGCCAAGGTTAAAAGTCAGTTACGTTCTACTTACATTCTACTTACGTCCGATCAGGACTTAAATACTAAACTGTGATAAACAGTTCTTAAAAACCGCTCCTAACTTGAGCGTCGGAGTGCCTTTTGCAGGTACCTGCCCCCTCTGTCAAGGAGGCAACCGAGCGGTCATACTGTGGAAGCCGAGCGGTCCAGACGGAAGGAGCAGGTGGAGCACGTGATTCAAGCATCAGAAAGATTAGTGTCTCGGTCCCATAAAATCCGTACCGAAACACCACTTAAATTTATTCATGAAACCATGAACAAACTATATTATTGTGTAGTTTGGACAATAATATAGCATTTACGTCACTTCTATATACATCTAATTGTACATTGCAATCTAATGGCGTGGATTAAAGAAATCAAGAAAGCCTTGAAAATCCTGAAAGAATTCGACTCCAAATACAAAGTTGTCTTCTTCTGGACCCAGCATAATTCACACCTATGAAATAACTACCTGATAATATCAGTGTACTTCTGCAGATGATATCTTCCAATGATGAAGCTTCTAAATACTAGACTATACCCAGTAGAGTAGGGACTACACTGATGGGAGCATGAAACTTGAGTCCTCAACAGCATATCCGTAGCTATATACTTAGAAGATTGACTCACAACTAATATAAAGTTCCACGAATTTGTGTCCACAAAAAATGAGCTGTGCAGCCAATTGGTTAATCTAAAAGAAACATTGAGGGAGCAAGAAGATACAAGAGAAAATTAAGGGCTGAAATGTGTGTTCACTGTAGAGACACAGGGATATGATTTGCAAAAGATTGATAAATTCGAGAAGATTTTAAAATAAATTAAGTGTTATTTTATTTTAAAAGATTTAAAAACGATGGATAGTAAATTTAGAAGTAAAATTTATAAAAAATTATAAAAAATTATGAGAAATTTGATTAATGTTATAATAAAAAAATATTTTAATAGATAAAAGATAAAGATTATCAAATTTTTTTTAATAATAATTATAATATAAATTGATATTTAAAAATAACATATTTTATTGTAAAAAAATATTTAAAATAGTAGAATTAAAAAATAACAATAAATAATTAATACAAATATATTTTCTTAGGATAATGAAATTTTTTTTGTTTAGAAATTTTTTACTTTAGTAAATAATTTAACTATATGTGGTATTACGTATCAATAAATTAGTAATTATACATTGAAAACAATGTATTCACTGTGATTGTCTCCAAGAGTTTCAATGGCATAAACAAAACAACGATGCAGTTCAAGAGTCCATCTTAAAAGAGGGACTTTTGATCTTATATACTGTTTCCCTACACTTTCCCTTCCACAACTACCCATTTTTCCTTCTCTTCAAAGACTTACCTTCACTTTCCACTTCTGAAAGCAAAAGGGTGCTGATAATACCTTATGGTAGGTGTTGTTGCTGCTTCCAACGTGTATGCAGCTAGCCAAATGACAAAAAGGAAAAACAAAAGAATAAGAAAATCAAACAGAAGAGGTTTTTTCACCTTATATACTCTCAAATCTGAGGGCATATTCTTCCACATGCTCTGTTTAAGGGGCATATTCTTCCATATAAATAGCATCCATACATGTCGCTTGTTCCATCAGCAAAGTGTTTCCTTAAGAAGTAACTTGGCACCCATATCTGGTAGTAAAAAGCCATTGAAATGCAACTGAATCATCTGGGAACCTCCCCTTTAGCTAGTCACCTTAACCGTTAGAAGCAACTTCGGCTTCTTGCATTGACAATAGCAGCCAAGTTGCTTTATTTGCAAGGAATCACTGAAGCAGACAAAAGAACTTCAATTAGCATTATTATTATTATTATTATTATTATTATTATTATTATTATTATTATTATTATTATTATTATTATTATTATTATCCACTATACAAAAGCGAAGCAAGAAAAATTACCTCCTTTGCCTTCTTGCATGGTACTTTTACCATTCTGGCAATTAAATAAAGAATCACACAAAAATGAAATTGAGAACATATCCTATCTGCCCTGTTCTTTCTGCTTCAATGATGATAGTGCGGTTACATTTGATTTACTCTGATGATGTTTTATCTGTAAGCCAGGCCCAACAACTACTGCAGTTCGGCTAAACATATATCAGTAACCATCATCTCTTTAGGCGATCTTTTGAAGTATTATTACTTGATTCATTAAGAAGTGCTTTATATGTAGCATAATCTGCAACAAGTCCTTTCTCAGAATTAAATGAGTCAACATCAACTGAGCTTCCATGCTTGCAATGACCATCTAGTAAAATGTTATACGTAATATCGTTTGGAGCCACCCCCAAATTAAGCATTGCATCTAACAGCATTTTAGCATTTTTCATCTGACCTTGCTTGCACATTCCATTCATTAGCGCATTATACGTGACAACTCCTGGCCTATGTCCATTGCGTTGCATCTCCTTGAGCAACTTGAATCCCGCCTTAACATCACCCTTCTTACAAAAGCAATCAATTACCATGGTATACGTTGAATCATCCGGTTTGAAACCAGCACTCAGCATGTCTCTTAACATTCTCTCCGCATCATGAACTCTCCCATCTCTACAAAGCCCAGAGATAAGCGCTGTGAAAGCTACATCATCAAGTTCAATCCCCTCTTCAACCATTCTCCTTTTAATCTCCAACGCAGATTCCATTTCTCCATCCTTGCAACATCCATCAATCAGTGTAGTGAAGGTGATCTTGTCAGGCTTCAAACCACTCGCACTCATCTCATCCAGAAGCCGCCTAGCCTCCTTTAAATCTCCAACCTTACATAGACCATTGAGCAATGCATTATACGTAACCAAGTCAGGTCTAACACCCTGAGCCAGCATCATCTGAAAATTCTTCAAAGCCAAGTCAACTTTCCCACCTTTGCACTGCCCATCAATCAAAGTAGTGAATGTAACACCATTCGGAACCAATCCTCTCCCGCGCATCTCATCAAACAAAAGACTCCCCTCATCCAACCTACCCTCCTTACACAAGCCATTGATCAAAGCGCTGAAAGTGAAGACATCAGGATATATTCCCTCACTCTCCATAACACCCTTCAACCGAAAACCCTCCTCCACATTCCCCACTTTACAACACCCACTAATCAAAGTATTAAAACTAACAACCGTCGGCCGCAAACCCCTTTTGGGAATTTCATCGAACACCAACCGCGCATTACCAACGTCACCAACTTTGCAAAACCCATGCATCAAAACGTTAAAAAAATAAATTTTTGCCGGATACCCAGAATCCAAAACCTCCAAATATAAACCCCAGGAACGCTCAACTTCAAGGGGTTTCAACCTGACCACGTGACGAAGCAGATTCTCGCAACCGCGAACCGGGACGGGGAACTTATTCTTCGTAACCAAACGGAAACACTCAACAGCGTCGGGTATAAACCCGGAATCAACGTAAGCGCACATTAGAGCATCGAAGACTATGCCAGCGGAGTGGTGACGAGGAGGCATGGTGCGGATAATGGAAGAGAAAAGGGAAGAAGCGGAGTTGGATCCTTTTCGCGAAACAAGGAAGGAAAGAAGGGAGTGTGCTTCGGGTAGCATTCGGTGGAGGTAGAGGAAGTGCAGCATGGTGCAGTAGGAATGGAGCGTGTGGCGAAAGGGAGGTCGCGATGCGAGGTAGTTGAAGAAGGAGAGGAGGGAGGAAGGGGAGAGGGAGAGAGGGTTGAGGGTGATGAGGTTGGCGACGTGGCGCGTCGTAAGGGAAGGGAGGATGCGCCGGAGTCTTGGGTTCTGAGAGTAATCATGGTTGTGTTTGTTCTGGGAATCTTGGATTGCTTCGGAGATTGCGCATAGAAGGTCGTGGTCTTCGTAGGGGAAGAATGAGAGAGAGGAAAATGGAAGATGGTGAAGGTTAAGGCCAACGCAGGAACAAAGGGATTCAAAGTCATGATACAGTTTGATTTTCAAGTTGAGGGCCATGACCATGGCCATCTGCTCTCTTACCTTCACCGTGTTTTACAGAGAATATATATATATATATATATATATATATATATATATATATATAAATGAGTAATAATATAGGATATAAATATGTTTTTTGATATAGTAGAGAAGTTTCAACATATACTACATCAATTTAAAACTATCGTCGATCATAATAGATATAGAAAATAATGTTACTTAAAAAAAATTATAGTGATCGAGAAATTTGACAGAATATGAGAGAATTCATTATTTATATTTGAAAGAATGATAATAATAATTAAATTTGTCCAATTTTGAAGAAAAAAATAAATGAAAATCATTTAGATTTTAGAACTTAAACAAGTGAGAATCCAATAAACTTGAAAAGAAAATCAATCTGGTTAGTTTGTTATCCCATAATATATATATATATATATATATATATATATAAAGGATAAAAATATGTATTGAATTATATAATTTGCATTGATGATGTATATGTTTAAATATATAAATGAGATACAAAAAATATATGTAAAATAATGTACAATAAATAATAATTTATAATTGTGCTAATAAGAACAAATATTATATGTTGATAAATGATTGCAATAATTAATGTAATATTACATAATAAATAAAAATTAATATTGTGAATATAAAAAATCAGGAGTTATAAACGATATGATATTGAACATAATATTTGATTTTGTCTAACTCTTTGTCTCAAATTGGTGGTGACATAGTCAAATACATGGTTGATTATGACTTCATTACTTGTTATCTTTTAATGAAAATACATGATTGATTCATATATGTAATCGCTCTACTCGGTGAAACATATGCATATTATAACTTTGTTGCTCAAAACAGAGTTGTGGGATTGCTGGTTTTGGTTGGTCTTGTATGAGTGAGAGATTTAGTCAAATAATCTGTAATTTGATCAGTAGTAGGAACATATATCACATTTACTTCATTTTGTAGGACTTGATATATGTAGTGTATATTTATCTCAATGTGCTTGGATCGTGCATGCATGACTGGATTAAAAGCCATTCACTTGACACTTAGATTATCACACCATAGAATTGGTTTTTTGAGCATTGGTAAATTTTTTAGTTCAATCAATAGAGATCTAACCCAAGTTACTTCAGTTGCAAGGTCAGTCAAGGCTCTGAATTCTAATGTTTTGCTTGATTGTGACACTACCTTTTGTCTTCTTGAAGACCAGAAACAAGAATTTCTCTAAGAAACACACACAGTCCTGCCATTGATTTTCTATCATCAATACTGGTTGCCCAATCTACATCATAATACACCATTATGTCAAGATCATTTGAGAGTTTTATGTGCAGACATAAGTTCATTATGCCTTGAAGATATCTTATAATTTTATTTACTCCTTGACAATGATCCATGGTAGGTGTGCTCATGTATTGATTGAGTTTGTTGACAACAAAGGCAATCTTCGACCTTCTGTTGGTCAAATATTGCAAATCCATACACAATAAAATTGATCATTGGTTCCCCTTCTGTAGTGAATTGTCTACCTGACACTGTCGCAACCGGAATCGCGACGGGACGACGATCCAAAAAGAAACGGGTTTTGAAAAAGAGATTTGGAGTCGCCACCATAGTTTATTCTGGAAAACTACGGAAAAACCATAAAACGATAAGACACTGTCCACGGATAAGTTGAAATTGTCTCCATGTTGAATTTTTTTAGAATATATTTTATGTACTTAGTTTGCCTTAGATACATTCCATTATCATTCCTGTGTACTTCAATGTCAAGAAAATATGTATATGTCTTAAGTTTTTCAAAGAGAAAGCAACATTTAATTCATTGATGAATGTTTCTAAGCATTGACGGTTGCTTCATGTTACAATAATGTCATCAACATAAATGAGAAGGAATGTAATATGATTTGTACCTCTATAAGAATGAATAAAGAAGAATCACTTTTGGTGTTTTGGAAACTCTAACATAACAGTGTCTCTTAGTTTATCAAACTAAGCTCTTGGTGCTTGCTTCAAACCCTATATGGCCTTGGACAATCTACATATATAATTTGGTTTGGTTGAGTCTATGTAACCTTCAGGTTGATGCATAAAAATTGTTTCCTTCCAATTTCCATTTAGAAAGACATTGTTTAGGTTGAGTTGCCTAACATCCCAAATGAAATGTATTACTATGATACTGAAAGTTTCATCAAAGTTTATGTTTGTTGCTTGTGGGGAACCTCTTGCAACAAGTCTTGTTTTTCTTCTTTCGATTGAACCATTTGCTTTATACTTGATTTTGAATATCCATTTTGAGTTTATGATGTTTTCTTGACCCTTGAATGACATTAATGTCCAAGTTTGATTAGACATTAGAGCCTTGACTTTAGTGTCCATGGTTTCTTTCCATTATGGGTTGATTAGGGTTTCCTTAACATTTCCTGGTTCTTTGTCATCTTCACAAATCTTTTTCCATCCTATGTATGGTTGCTTAGGCTTGTAAATTTCAGTTTTACTTCTCGTCACCATCTAGTGGGTGTTGGTGTTGGGATGATTGCTTTCAATTTCAGTTTGACTACTATTTTCTACTGGCTTCACTGATATTGAACCTTTTTCTTGACTTTCTCTTGATGTATTGTTATCAGTAACGACTCACAAGATATCCTTCATTTATATCAGTGATGACAAGACTATCACTTGCGATTTCTTTTTGATGACTTATAGTATTGTTTCCTAGTTTAAGAGTATTATTGATAGTGATACATCTAGAGTAATTAGGAAGCAAAATTGACATAGGTAGAGTTAATTCTTTTAAAGAATTTATTGTGTCAATGAAACCTTCATGAGAAGGGAAGTGATTCTCATTGAAAATCACATGTTTTTAGATGAAAATTCTCCCATGAGAGTTAATGCATTTGTATCCTTTGTGTGAATTACTGTAACCAAGAAACACACACCTAGTTGTATGAATCTTGTTTTGATTGTATGGTTGAGACAAGGATAACCGACATAACCAAAAGGTTTCAAGTTTTCCTACTCAGGTTCTTTCTTTTGAACCAAAGAGTATGGATTTTTGTTTGGATTATTGATTATGGTAATCTATTGATTAGGTAAACAACAGTTGAGAAGGCTTCCCACTAGTAATATAAAGGCATTTTGACTTGTGCTAACAGGGTTAAGCCAAGTTCAGCAATATATCTGTGTTTTCTCTCAACCCTACCATTTTGTTGAGAGATGTAGGGACAAGGCATTCTAAATTTAATTTCTAATTCTGAGGCAATCCTTTGAACAAGTTTAAATTCACCACCTTCATCACATTTTTTGACTTTAAGTTTTCTTTTAAACTGATTTTCAATCATAGCTTTGAAAAGGGTAAAGACATAGTTTATGATTTTTGCTTTAAGGAAAAAATCTATGTGAACCTACTAAAATCATCAATAAAATGGACATAATATTTGAACCTAGATGGAGACAAAATTGGAGCAGGACCCCAAACACTAGTATGAATTAAATCTAAAATTCCATTAGCATGTGAGGAAGAGCCTTTGAAAGGCAACATGTGTAGTTTCCCAAACTGACAAGCTTTACAAAATGTGAATGAGTCATTAAATGATGTTTTCGCATTGCATTCCTTCAAGACCTTTTCTAGAACTTTATTCTTGGGATGTCCAAGTTTCTTATGCCAACTTTCTTTAAGAGACATATAAACATAAGAGTCTTTATTGTCACATAATTTATATAAGTCATTTGTAAGTTTCCCTTTTAGAAGAGCTTTCCTTGTCAATTTGTCATTCACAAAGCAACACTTTTCTTCATACTAAACAAGAATATTATTTCAAACAGTCAATTTTGAAATACTTAGCAAATTTTTGGAACATAAAGAACATCATGCGGATGATGATTATTCAATTTGGTTTATTTGAGCCATTACTTTTTGTCTTTCACCATTACCAACAAGTAAAGAATTCTTACGATCATTTTGACCAAGTTCCTGAATTTTGTCCCTTTTGGTGAGTCACATGGTTGTTGGCTCCACTGTCAAAATACAATTCATGATCTTGACCTTGATAAGACGAAGCTATGAATGTCTTATGTGTTCCTTATTTTTCATTATCAACAAAGGAAGTTTTCCACGTGCGGCTAATCCTTCTGTATATCTGGCATATTGGTTTGGATATCTTACCTTTTCCTCTGCCACCTCTCGTGCTTTTGAAATTAGAAGCTCTCCAATCACTCTAGGATCTAAATCTATTGTCTTTGAACTCATTCTTAGCAACAATTTGCAGAGGCATTCAAATTAAGACGATTGTAATTATTAAGTTGATCTAATTGATTATCAAATGTTAACAATTGGGTTTGCAATTCAATCCAATTGATGTTAATCTGCTAAGATAGTTTGATAACCACTGGATTGTAATCAGAATCCAAACCATTTAGTGTTTGAATCACTAAATCAAAATTATAAATTGGTGAACCTGCCAACATTAATTTATCAGCAAGGTTTTTCATCTTGCCAAGATATTGTTTCATCTTTATGTCTTTTTTTCATGTGCTGTGAATTTGATATTTAAAATAGACGATTCTGGATCTGGTGTGCGTACCAGCAATACTTTGAGCTTCATCTATTTAGAGGTTTCACAATGAAACAATTGAGTTGCAATGTCAATTGACATAGAATTCATCAATCATCCTAAAATGGCTTGATCTTGAGCTTTCCAATCCTCATAACTAGGATTGACTTTTGTTGTCATGTTATCCGCAACAATGAATTTGTCGAGACATTCTATCTTTCCTAACATATAAGTATTAAGTTTGCAGCCTCTGATCACCAGTAATATATACTATATATTTACATAGTGGATAATTATCCATGTCCAACTTGACACAAATTATAAATGAAAGGTCATTTTTTAATTGGTAGTAGATGACATGATTGTTGTGATTATGGATTAAAGCTTGGATACCAAGGTGAAAAAATATATTAAATTGTATAATTTGCATTGACGATGGATGTGTTTAAATAAAAAAATAACCCAC